TTTTTTTTTTTTTTTTTTGTCCTTATAGGAAATCTAACATAGCAGATAAGGCTATGGACTTAGGACCACATTGGCCTTGTGATTCTGTGACATTGGGGAGCTTATCGGAAGTACTACCTGGCACATGGGGAGCGCTCACACTGTTTCTGTGACCCCTGGTTTTTAACTTGAAGGATGCAGTAATGTGTATAGTACTTGTTCTGTGGTATGGCCATCAGGAGAATTTGGAAACTTCCCTGCTATAAACATAGTATACAGGATGCAGCATCACTGGCCAGGACAGTTAGGAATGAGTCACGGGGCTAAGAAGAAACCTCAGCATGCAGTGCGTGAGCCCACACTGCTGCTCCCCTGGGAGGGCACCAGGCTCCACACTAATCCAGGCAGAGGAGACCGTGACCCGCAAGATCTGGTGTTTAGTAACCAAGGAACTTGCACTGCACCATATTCTGTTGGAAAGGCTGCGCTAGAAACCAGTCACCTGCTCTCAAAGGCAACAACGAGTGTCTGTATCTAGATTTTGATCATAGTTCTGCTAGGAACATTTTTTAGCCAGCAGAACTTTATTGAGATATAATGAACATTGTACAGGTCTGAAGCAGACTGCTTGATGACCAACTCAGATCAAGATAGAGAGCATTATCCTCACTCCCAGAAGTCCCTGATCCTTTTTCTCAGCCCCTCATCACCCAGAGAAAAAAACCGCTGTCCTGACTTATATCACCGTAGTGTAGTTTTGCCCTTTTTTGGTGTGTGGTTCTGGAGGTTTAATCCCAGGGAGCTCTCCTACTGAGCGACATCCCAACACTATCCCTTCCCTTTTTGAGACAGGGTCTTGTTACATTGCCCAGGTTGGACTTGAATTCATGGTCCTCCTGCCTCAGCCTCTCTCTGCTGGGATTGCAGGTGTGTGCCACTGCACCTGGCTTTGTTTTGCCTGATCTTGAACTTCATTGAAACAGAATCATGTAGCATGAACTGTTTTATGTCTGGCTTACTGTACTCAATTTAATGTTGCTGAACTTGATCCACATGGCTGATCCACTTATCAGTAAGTGCATTGTACGAGTATAGCACAGGGTGTTCATTCTCCTATTGATGGACATTTGGACTATTTCCAGTTTGGGTTATTATGAGTACAAGTCTCTTTGTACGCATATGTATTAATTTCTTTACTCAAGGAGTGAAACTGTGAGTCCTAGGATATAGACATGTTTAATTTTATTAGAAATTGCCAAAAATTTGCACACAGTAGTTGTGCCATTGGACCACCATGGTGTTTCAGAGCACTGATTGCCCCACAGTGTGTCTTAAACCAGTCTTTTCAAACTCTATCCTTGTGGTGGGTGTGGAATATTATCTCATTGTAGTTTTTTTTTTTTTTCATTGTAGTTTTAATTAGATTTCTGTGATTGTGACTAATGGGGCCAAGCAGCTTTTGTGTGCTCATTGACCATTTGGTTATGTTTGTTTGTGATGTTCCTGTTCAAGAATTATGCACTTTTTTGAGGGACTGTAGTTCTTATTTATTTGTGATACTTATTCATTACATATCTTTTGTTGGATGTGTGTATTGATTTTCTCCTAATCTGTGCCTTTTCTCTCCTTAATGACCTTTGTTGAAGAGCAATTTTCAGTTTTGATGATGCCCAATTTATCACTTTTTTTTTTTTTGGTACCAGGGATTGAACTCGAGTCCTTGCACTTGTGAGGCAGGCGGCAAAACCACTGAGCTAAATCCCCAGTCCCAATTTATCACTTTTTAATCTTACAGTTAGTGATTAACCATAACGTGTTGAATTCAAAAAACCTTTACTTACACCAAGATCACAGAAATATCCTTCAGTATTTTCTTCTGAAAGCTTTGTGGTTTCTGATTTAAGGTCTGTGATCCATTTTGTGTACAGTGTGAGCTAAGGGTCAAAGTTTGTTTTATTCAGTAGAGATAAACAGTTCTAGTCCAAGTTATGAAAAGATTGTTTGTTGAATTCATAATGATCTTGCCTTGTATAGCAAGTTTTCAAATCTGATAGTTGAAGGCTTCTAATTTTTTGTTTTTGTTTTTGTTTTCTTTTTGGTACCGGGGATCAAACTTGAGTCCTTGCGCTTGTGGGGCAGGTGGCGAAACCACTGAGCTAAATCCCTGGCCCTGAAGGCTTTTAATTTTATTATTTTTGTTTAGTTTTATGTTGGCTATTCTAGATCGTTTTGCAGTTTCATAAAATTATAAAATCAGCTTAGTTTTTTTTTTAAACAAACCCTTTATTATTGTATTGGTTCAATACAGTTCTAGATTGGTTCAGAGGAAATTGACATCTTAACAACATGGAATCCCCTCACCCACTAACATCATACATCTCCATATTTTTATACCTTTAATTTCTCTCAGTAATATTTTGTATTTTCAGTGTACATCTTTATTTAAATTTGTTCCTAGGCATTTGACATGTTTTACTAAATTTGTTTCTAAGTATTTAATGTTTTGATGCTATTGTAAATGAAACATTTTAAATATTTTAGCAGTATTTGTTTCTAATATATAGATACAGATTTGTATAGATTGACCTTGTATCTACATTTACTAATTGTTATTTTAGTATATGTGCTGCCCAAGGGAGCACTAAATTTACTAATTGATTCTAGCAGTTTGTAGATTCCTTTGAATTCTCTTTGTATCCAATCATGGAAGCATTCTGTCTGCAGATAAAACATTTTTTCAGTTCTAAAAGTTTTGGTTTTTTTTTTTCCTTTCCATGACTTTTCCTTTTGGTTTCCTTAAGTGCTAAGAATGACAGTACTTAGAAATATGAAAAGACTGTAGCCAGTATAGATAATTCTCATTTTCAATGACAGATCTCTCTCAGCCCTGTCTGCTTATCATACTGGCTTGATTGCACCAATGAAGATTCGCACAGAGGCCCCTGGCAATCTTCGTTTGTATAGTGGGAGCCCCACTCGCAGCGAGAAAGAGCAGGTCTCCATCAGCTCCTTCTACTACAAGGAGCGGGTAAGTGCCTGAGCCATTGCCTTTGATTCTAACCCTTCTCCCCGTTCTTGCTCTTTATATCCCTGCCTGCCACACACAGCAGTTCAGTAATCCCTGGGTAGTCTTTCACTTTCATAATTAGTTTGTTCACAAAAGGCTGATGCCCTGTGTTCCCTGCAGTTGGTTTTAACCAGTGTGGCTTGTGTGATGGGGAGGAGGGGTGAGCTCTACAGTCCTCCATGCTCTGTGTGACCCCACCGTATATCCCCCATCCATCCAGTTGCTCCCTGTTATTTCAAGTGGAATAAACAACTTCAGGTCTTCCTTGTCATTCTGTTATTTGTCAACAAATTAAAGGATGTTCTGAAAGCTAGGAGTTTTGATATATTTGGAACTTTATAGTGAGGAGATCTTTAAAATTGATATCTAAAAGGTTTTCTACTTCTGTTAAGAATATGCTTAAGTGCTGGGGATTTAGCTCAGTGATTCCGCTGCTTGCCTTGCAAGTGCAAGGACCTGAGTTTGATCCCTGGTACCAAAAAAAAAAAGAATACACTTAAGTACCCATTAGAATGGGTCAGTTTATACAGAAATCACCTGACTTGTCCTTATGTTCCAGAGTTATTAAAGAACTCATCGTCCCTACAGTAGTTACCACGGAGCCAGCAGAAACCTTTGGTAGCAGCAGTGTGGAGAATGCTGGCAAAACATAGAAATGGTTATAAGAATTCTTTCTGTGTTATCAGACTGAGAATCTGGCTTGAACAGGTGTTAGCTGACATGGTGTTTAAACAGTTACCTCTGAGCTACTGCATAAACTCAGTCCTTAGGAATTCTTGGGTGACATTCCCTGCTAAGGGAGAAATAATAAATTATTTTTGTTTCTAAAAATTGAGTTTGTTTTAAATTTAAAACCAAGTTTCTGTCAGGTATTGGAAGTGTCTTCACTTGGGTTGGAGTGTAGTATCTCACCTTGCCTTGTGGTAGCTGACCAGCCCCGACTTTGTGTAGTCTTAGAGCCTTATGTGACTGAGTGGCAGCAACTTATGTTTGAAACTGGACCAATCTTGTGGCTAAATTTTTCAGTCAAGTAGAGAAAATGTTTGTTGCCTTCTCGGCCAACTTTCCCCTTCCTCACATGTCTGATGGAGTTCTGTCTCCCTGCCTGTCACAGACTTCACTAGAACACCTGCCTAACTATATCCTCTTTAAGTCCTTTACTTTCAGATTTTTTAACCCTTTTTTTCTTTTTCTGCAGGCTAGCAGGCAACTGGGTAGATGATTTGATAAGCTATTTGGCATTTAATTTATTAAGGCATTTAATTGCCATAAAACCAAGACACACTCATGGTTGAATAAATGTGAGAATTTTCTTTAATGTCAGGGCTGGATTGAGGAGATCTTTTAGTCACAGACAAATCTGAATTTCCCTTCCATTCATATCAGGTGCTACCTGCCTGTGCTTGGGATGTAATTGGGCAGAATAGACTGACTAGCACTTTTGACTTTGTGGTAGTGTGTAAAGCCCATTTGTAGTCAAAGTAATGCCTTTTCTAATGCAAAAACATTGGTAAAACCTGTATTCATGTCCTTGATGATCTGGCTTCTTTTGCTGCAAACACCATAGTCCTAACAAGGGACCTGACCAGGGGGCTGGTAGGATCTGCTGGGGAGTGGAGGAAGAAATGTGATACTGTTTGGGATAGTTCCAAATATACTGCTTCTCCACAGAAAATGGGCCATTCTAGTACCCTAGTCTGACACAGCACTTGATCTTTAAAAGCCACACATATTTTTTTTTTTTTTTTGTACCAGGGATTGAACTCAGGTCCTTGCGCTTGCGCAGCAGGCGGCAAAACAACTAAGCTAAATCCCCGGGCCCCATCACTTGATCTTTAAACAGTGACCAAAATAAAATAATACAATCTCACATGAAACTTAGGTATTGATATACAATATACATACAGAAAAGTTCCTAAATCATGATGGGGGTGGAGTTGAGTGTATTCACTATCACATAGATCATTGCAAGACCCAGAGAATCCCTAGACAAGGGAGACACATTTCAATGATTGACATATAGTAATTCTTAGGTTTAATCATATGAAATTGCTGATACTTGACCTCTTTTTTTTTTTTTTTGGTACCGGGGATCAAACTTGGAACCTTGTACTTTCGAGGCAGGTGACAGAACCACTGAGCTAAATTCCTGGCCTCACTTGACCATTTTTTTAATCTAAAATAATTTTCATGCTGTTCATCCTATTAATTTAAGAAAACAAAAATGAGTAAGTCAGTTATTTTGTGATGAATCTCTCCCTGAAGCTTGTTTGTGTCCATTGTATTTAACCTGGGTGGAGGAGGCACTAAAGTCACAGGATTCTGTCATCCTATCTACATGGGCTGCCACGTCTCCCTTAGAGAGCTTGCTGCTCCTCAAGGAGCATTTTTCTAGTCCTCAGGAGTCTAGTTTCACCTGTCAAATGATAGCACTTTATTACTTTTGTTCAGGAAGCATTTCCAGCTTACTAAAGTTTTTTGTGCCCCAATTTTTCTCCAGCATATTTTTATTCCCTCTTTTCCTGAGAGCTTTAACTGAGGGGGAATGAAGGAGTAGAGAATATGCCTGCCAGAAGATCTAGCAATGAAGAAATTTCAAGATATTTTTGAGATTGTAATGGCTCTTTGCAGAGCCATTTGGACGCTGTTGTTTTCTTGTGTTTTTAGCCTGCCCTACTTAGGTCAAATTGTTATATTCACCCAGTGGTCCAAGGTTTTTTCCCTAAAAAGTTAAAAATGTGAGAGACCTAAAAATTTGTCTGATTTCATAGCAAGTCAGAAAGGAAAGCGATGTTCACATGAATGAATTTAGCAAGCAGACCAACTATTAATAGCTGATGAAATATTGTTTATTCCTAGGATAAATCAGAAGGCCCAGAACTTGTGATGAACATTAGGCATTACCCTATAAACACTTTAAAAAAATCACAACCTTTCATCTCTGCTTTAGTGTGTGTTACTAAAATAGTTTTGGTGTAAAACCTGGGGAGGTTTATGTTAATAAAATACCTTCTGATCTCCAGAATTGGGCTGTGTGCTCCTGGTTCCATGCTCTTAGCAAGAGTGCCCTCAGGAGTGTTCCTCCTCCTCCTCTTCATTTTCTAGGGCTCCACACTTCCCAGCATAGCTCTGAAAGTAGCCCGGAAGTCGCACTGTCCAGACATGCAATTTTCTCATCAGCCCCCACCCCAACCACACACACCCCAAAATTGGGTATTGAACCTGTAGAAGAGTTTCTTCCCTTTCGGGAATCAGACTGTCCTCTCAGTTAGTGTTTCCTTCTCATTGATTAAGTGTGGGCGGGGGGGGGGGGGGGCACGGCACAGAGTCTTCCCCTATTTCTTTGCTTGCATTGTGCTCTGAGTCCTTGTTCGAACACCTCAACCCTTGATTGTAGTCCCTTGATCAGAGCTGTGTTGACATCAGTCTCCTTGTGTCCCCAAAAGTGACTGAAGAACAATGAACTTGAAGCTGGATTTGGCGTGTACTGGGAGGGGTTGGGGAGTTGAGGGAGTCGGAACACTGCTGTGCCTAAGGTTCAGATTTTTTCACTGTTACACTCCCAGTTTTGTGGTGTATATACCTTTTAATCCAGCAGATGTGGGGAAAGCTTTCATTTTATTCTATATTTTTCCCTTTTAATTTTCTTGGTGTTTTTCTTCCCTCTTCCTGGGTGTAACGTTTTCACGCACAGATGTCTCCTCGCTCTGCCCGGCGACGTTGGTCCATACAAGCAATTAACGACTTCCCGGTACTGTGCGCTGTGCAAATGCTCTCCTTAACTAATCCTGTCTCTACCCAAAGGCCCAAGAATAAAATGCCACCTGCCTGGCTTTGAGGAACCTGAAATGACAGGCTAGCTGGCTTTCAGGACCAGCAACAAGAAATTCTTCTCTCTGAGGAGTCCAGCTCCAAGGACTGCCTCCTTGTTCCATCGTGGGGTTACAAATGAGTAAATGTTGGGAAAGATCACAGATGGACTTCTTTGCAAATGAAACTTAATACTGGGTTCTTGGAAGGAACCCCAATAAAATGACTTTAGCTTACCTGATTTCACTTGGAGCATTTGTATAATACCATGGAGTTTCAAACGCCTACCTTTGGCATGGGGGGAGCAGAGGAAGATATAAGAGGCTTCTGCCACTTAGCCTCTGTTTGTGTAGTTTTGGTCTAGCTCAGAGAGGGAAGTGCCCACCTGCTTCATTGGCATGACACATAAGCTAGTTTTACCCTTTGGGAGTTTTCCAGAACAAATTTTTTCCTTACCATCAGTATTTTGCATTTGACAATAAACCTCTGCTATAGCTATCCCCTCTTCTTCCTTTCTGTCCTCCTCACTGCTATTGGCCATCTCCCCTCTTCTGTCTTCCTCCCATCCCCTTCATGTTTCAGTAGTGCCAAGGTGACCTCAAGGCAGCCTTGAGGCTTCAGGTCAATTTCATGTAGTAAAAAGAATGTTTAGAGGAAAGGTCCAGTAGCCTTTTTATATAAAAACAAAATAAAATCAGGAGCCCGATTAGCAAGTACCACTGCTACCAACAACTTTCTGGTGGCCACTGACATGGCCACCTTTCCTCAAAAAAGCTGGTCCCAATCAACCCACCTATTGAAGCTCCACTGATTTTCCAGAAGTCCCTGTTTTCACTGCTCTTTAAATAGGAACTCATTTTGGCTCTCTGCCCACTGTGCTGATTACGCATTGTTGATGGGGTTGCTGCGAAGCAGTTGGTGGCTTATTCTTGGGCTGTCTTTATATTTAACCCATTTACTGGCATTGATGCAGCCTCCAATTGTAACAGTAACACTGGTGGTACAGTCGCAAGCTGGCTGTTGGTTGTCATTCAGTGCTATTTGCACCAATGCCCTCCTCCCCCTTCTTCCCTGTCTTCTTTGCCATATGTCACAAACACCTTCCCAGGATGTTCAAGAGGGCCATCCTGGAGCTTATCACGTAATAATTTGTCTGTCTTGCTTTGTCTCTCTTCCCTCAGTCCCTTCTCATGGAATCTGTGGGGAAGGGACATTTTCTGTTGATGGAGCTTTGAAAAGACCTAAGAAAAACACAGAGTCCTTTGGCTCCCAGAAGTACCAATTTTATTGGACAGAAAAGTGTCCACACTGAAGCTGGTCAGAGTGGGATTGGAGCAGCAAACGAGCGTGAAGGGCATGTAGTCCATGATGCTCTTCCTTAACCCAGATGGAGTAACCTACCTTAGCCTAGAGTGGCATTGTTCTCTGAAACCAGAGTCCTGGGAGAAGTCCATATGTTATTACTGTTACATAGACAAGAGCGACACCCCTGCAAAATGTTAAAAGTGAAGTCACTTTTAGGGGAAGTGTGGATGAAACAAGAGTGCTTTCTATTGCCAAAGTCCTGGAGGAAAACTCCTGAAAATTTGTCCGTCTTTTCGTTAGAGAACAGCCAGAATCTAGGCCCCAACTAATACTTGATTATAGAGATTTAATATATCTTCACTTAGGCAGCATTGTTATATTTGAATCTCCAGAATATTTAGCCATTAGGATTACTGAATGATTCTTGTAGCTTGAAGGGAAGACATTTCATGTTTAAAGCCAACCACCAAGTTAAAAACACAACAAAAATTAGCAGTGTTTTGTAATCCCTTAAGAATTTTTGATAATGTTTTGCTGTTATTCCTTGCTGGATTAAAAAAACTACTAGTCCTCTCCCATAATTGTTTTTACAGTTTGGTTCCTGACGGCAGTTAGAATCAGTGATGCTGGGGAACTGCTTTCTACTGTAGGGTCAGAGATAGCAGAGCAAGGTTCCAGAAAACATTTCTGTTCATCCAGGACAGCTCAAACAAAATCCTAGAAGGCTGGTGTCTCAAGAAATCCCATGAAATACAAATTTCCGTAATTTAATGAAGGATAATCACAGAAACTTGTCAAAGACCACTGTCTTTCAATTTTCATCACGTATCTATTGACAGCACACACTGGTTCATTTCTGCTGATCTCTGTAACCCAAGACTGCAAATGGGGGAAGAGTCCTAAGACATCTTTTCAGACTCTTAGTTTTCTTCTATCTGAACTAAAAACACATGTGGGGCACACTGTCAAACCCAGCCTGAAATAGAGTCGTGGTCTGAATCTACAATCATGATGCTTACTTAGCAGAAGAGTGACTGAAGAACTCAGTAGTTGTAGGATAGTGTGGGGTAGGCAACACTTGAATCAAACGTTAATCTTCTTACATATGGAAATGAGTCATTTAAAAATGGACCATTTACTTATTAACAGGTAGCTTTGTCAGGACTTAATTCTTGTTCTTGTTATCCTAAAATCATAAAGAATACTGAAAAGCAAATTAACAAAAATGGGCTGAGCAGCCTGATGGGCCTGTTCTAATCCCAGCTGTGTAACAACTGACCTTGAATAGGCCTCACGTTCCCTTACACAATGGAGTGATCCCCCTATGCCAGGGAGCTCTGGTGAGCTGTGTGCCACTCAGGGTGAGCCGTCCTTTGGCAGGTGCTAACAGGACTGTGACAACAACAGGCAAGACTTGAAGTCCTAAGTCAAACAGCTGTACACTTGGCCATGTTCACCGTCAGTTTCCACATGAACCAGGCTGCTCACAAATGAGCCACTTTGACACGAGGCTTCATATAATGAATAATGTGCTTTAATTAGATTTACTTTAAAAGCCAGGAAATTGTTGTTCTTTCAGTGTGTTCTAAATGCTAGCACACGCCATCCTCCCCGAGGCCTCTGTCTGTTTCAGCTGTCATGAGTTGTTCAATTGTTCAAGTGCTTCTCATTTTCTCTTTATAATAAGGAACCAGAGCAACTTCCTGGAACAGTGTTTAGAAGCCTTCCAACCAACCTGGAAGACTAAATTAGACTGATCATATTCCATTCTACATGGAATCTTTTTAGCATAGATTTTCTTCAGTACGCTAAATCTCATTTGAGATGGTCAATTGTGTAGTACCTGTAAGCATGTCATTTCCAGCTAGCTACGCACCTTGTGCTGTTCACTGTCACTCCAGGGCAGATGTGGACTTGAGTGATCCTCCTACATCAGGTCATGCATGGTATTGAGTCCACGTGTGACTATAGCTGTCTCATGTCAGATAACACTGCCTGGCTGCAGCCCACTCTGACAGGCTGTTTGCTCTTTAACATGTCCTTCCCTTACCTGCACCCAAATCAGGATGTTTGTGGCTAAAGGATAATATTGTTGATAGTATCACATAATTCTTTGGAAGAGAACCAAAGCACTACCGAATTGAAGGGCTACCCCAAAATAATAGATTAAACTTCTTGTACTTAAGAATAATGACTTCCTCAGGAGGCTGAGGGAGGAGGATTGAGAGTTTGAGTCCAGCTTGGCCAAATTAGTGCCTAGTGAGACCCTGCCTCAAAATAAAAAAAAAATAAAAAGGACTGGGGCCGTAGTTCAATGGGAAGGCCCTGGGTTCAATCCCCAGTACTGCAACAAACAAAAACAAAAAAAACACACACAGAACTTGTACAGATAAGTAGTAAATAGTAACAGAACTGCTTCTTAAGATCAAATGGGTTAAGGTTCCAAATTGATAATGCAGTGTATGTACTTCCATATTATGATAAACAAGTCACAGATGCTTCCATTAGACTTCTTCACTTACTTGCCTGGTACTAAGTTGAGGTGTCCTGGGTTTAGAAAGTCCTGAGACACACGATAGCCCTCTAGAAGTTACATGCATTGGGCACCTTTGGGATTAGTTGGGACACCAGTGGTCAGAAATGCCTGGATTTAGACCAAGACTAATTCACGGAAGAGTGATTATATAAAGATCACTTGTGGAAAATGAGTTTTTTGTGATTAATCTAAATAATGAGCTTTTTTAGATTCCCAGGAGTTCATATGCTTTCATCATAATTGGATATTTTTAGGTTACACTTTTCAGTTTCTATAGTTTGCACCTATATCTTTTTATTGTACCCATACTGACCTTGTGAGATTGGACAGCAGAGCTCATCATTATCCACAAGTTGTCAACGAGCAAAGAAAGAGTGATATGCATGAGGCTAAATCTGCAATAAAAAATTAATTTGCTCAGGGTCATATTAAGAGTAAGACCAATTAGGCTTAGTTTTCTGACTCCCAGCTGCAGGCTCTTTTCAGTTGCTCCTTTTTGTCTCCTTCGTTAACAAGTTGACTCACTTCGGTGACCTCTTCGTTAGCTTCTGGAAATGAAATAAAATCGAATACAGTATTGCTCCCTTTTCTCGTTGTCATCTGGAAGATGCCAGATGGGCTGACACTCTAATAATTATTGTTTTCCAGGACATTTCCCATTTCACACATACAGATTCCTTACAGAGAGCCACTTACAGGGATGGCTTTGGGGGTTGGGGCGCTTGCTCATGACCTCCTGTGTCCATTACCCAAATCCGCTGACTCAAGTATTTTTAACCTTCTAAAATTATCACCTTTAGAAACCATTCAGATCTGCTAAAAAAAAAAACAGGATAATTCTCCTTAAGCTGCCACATTTCTTTGTCTTCCTCTAGAGATTAAGGTTTGCAGAGCCCACACTGCTGTGTCTGAGTTAAAATTTCAGCAAACCCTCCTGAAACTGAGAAGAAAAAAACTTTGATAGTTTCAGGCAAGAACTTTGAACCTAGTACTGAACTCAACCTTAAAATTCACTCTTTCTCTACATTTTTGGATCTTTACTAATTTACCTGCTGTTTTTAAATTAATTCATTAATTCTGGCTTCCTGGTATTGATTTTTGAGCACCTGCAGAGTGTAGCTAGCCTTGCAGTAGGTGCCTATTTTCCTGTTAGGATTTTGGATGGAGAGCTCAGTGCCCTTTTTCATCCTTCTATTTCCTACAGATGCTGATTCTTGTAATTGTGGGCATGATGTAATTTAAAGTCTGCAAATTACCAATGATGCAAATATAATGAGCTCCACAACTGTAGGTTTCCACCCCGAAAAGTCCCAATTAGTTACATCTTGATGTTTCCCCCAGAAATCAAGGCGATGGAAAAGTAAGCGTGAGGGTTCAGACTCTGGCAATCGACCCATCAAGGCTGCTGGAAAGGTCATCATCCAGGATGTTTCGTGCCTCCTCCCTGTTCACAAGTCTCTGGGAGAACTGTACATGTAAGTTCAAGATTTCAATTATGCTGTGCTTATTTTTTAGGATTGGCAGATCTTTTTTTTTTTTTTTAATGTTGGAAGCTTTTCTTCAAAAACAGTTTTAGGAGAAGCTCAGTGTATTAGCTTTCTGTTGCCCCATAACAAATAATTGCAAATTTATCAGTTTTGGACAACATACATTTATTATCTTTTAGTTTCTGTGGATCATGGTTCTGGGTGTGGCTTCACTAGGCCTCTGCCCTAGATCTCACCCAAATGAAATCATGACTGCCGGGGATTTAGCTCAGTGGTTCTGCTGCCTCCCTTGCAAGCACAAGGTCCAGAGTTTGATCCCCGGTACCAAAAAAAAGAAAAAAGAAATCATGACATTGGCTAAATGGTGATCTCTTGTGATGCTCAAGGTCCTCTTCCAAGCTCATTCAGGTGTTAGAATTCAGACCCTTGCAACTGTTGAAGGCTTCTGTGAATTTCATCTTCCTTGAGACCAGCAGGAGTGGCTCATAGACCCTTCACCTGCCCCACCTGCCCCACCTGCTTAGGTCAGGCTCACTCAGGATAGTCTGCCTTTTAACAGATTCAGAGTCAACTGCTTAGTAACCAGGGGCGTGATATCCCATCAGTATTCACTGGTCCCACCTGTATTCAGAGGAGGGGATTGTCCAAGATGTATATGGCAGGGGACAGGAATCTTGGGGACCATCTTAGAATTCTGCCTCCCACACCTAACGTGTAAAACAGATCAGATCACAGCTGTTTTGGGTGAAGGGAAGTGGGAGGTGGGTGACCAGCTTGCAGAGGTCAGCTTGTGGTTTCCCTTCTCCTTCTTGAACTTGAACACATAATGAAAACATTTCTTTTGTAGTATACACACAGCACAGCACTCTTTGTGTAAAAATCATAGTCACTGTTGCACATATTTAAATCCCCTAAGCCTTGGAAGTGCCACAGAAAAGCTAGTCAGCAGATTAGTATTTGAGTATGGCCTCTTTTGCTGACTTCACAGTGGTCAGGAATTTCACCTTCCCCAGACAGGACCCCACAGCTCCACTAACTTCCAATCTAACTAATCCTTTCCCACGGGTGAGATGGAAAGGAGCTTGAGGCTAGCACAGGGTAAAATACTTCGAGTGACGACCAAAGAGGCGGTTTTTAGTGTGTTAAACCAGGAGGAGGACTTAGGGAGTTTAAAAGGAGAGAAACTTTTTTATTCTTTTTGAAAATTTTCAGATTGAACGTGAATGATATTCAGGAAACATGTCAGAAGAATGCCACTTCTGCCATGCTTGTTGGAAGGAAGGATCTTGTCCAGGTACTGTGCATCCCTTTGTATGGGGCTCTGGGTTTTTCTGTAAGAGCAGGTTGTTTTCACTTGATAGTTGTGGATTAGCAACATTTTCAAGGCATGTTTTTTTCTATTTCACAATTCCTTTCCCATTCTTTTTACCAATCTCTAGGGCTAGAGCAGCTTCCCAAGCCCTCTGGATGTTTTGCTTATGAGAATAGTGCTTAGTTCAGAAGATCCTAAAGCATTTACTGAATTTTTTTTTTAACTGTATCCCTTTTCTATTCCAGTTCCACAGTGATTGTTACATACCTAAATTTGGTAATATCTGTGTCTCCACCATTTGCACCCTCAATTCTTTTTTTAACTTTAAAAAGTATTTCATAAAATATTTACTAATGTGTTCCTTTAGCTAAAGATGTTCAGTTTTAAATAATGATTTAATTTTAACAAAAATTTAAATTGCCTTTATCTTTCGAGGAACACAACAAAGTTTTATTGCAAGCTGCTCCTTAAACTGCTTTATTGAAATGTAGTTTGCATATTATGTAATTTACCCATTTAAAATGTACCATTCAGCAGCTTTTAGTGAATTCAGAGTTATGCAGCCATCACCACAAACAGCTCTAGAACATTTTCATTACCCCCCAGAAAACCCTGTGCCCATAGCTATCACCTCTCAGTACCTTCTTCCCTCAACCTTAGGCACCCACTGCTCTACTGTCTCTACTGCACCCTTATTTTTTAGTGTGAGAATTACATTGAGCAGTGGAAATTATTAGTGGTTGTTCTATCAGCTCAGTATTTTGCCCTATAACTCTCCAAACATATCATTGCTAAACCTTTTCCTGGATTTTTAAGACCCTAGCCACCTAATTTTTATGAACACTAAGAAAGTAATTTGAGCAGGACATGGTGGCACACATGTATAATCCCCATACTCAGGAGGCTAAGGAAGGAGGATTGCTGTGAGTTCAAGGCTAGCCTGAACTACATAACAAGACCCGGTCTCAAGAAAATAAAAAAAGAAAGAGAGCAACTTGAGATAATAGGATCTGCCAAATTTATGGCAGAAGGCCTAGGTGCAACTTGGCTTCCTAGCAGAGTAACCCAGGCAAGTTCTCTCAGCCTTAGAGTGTGTTTGTAAAATGAGAACACCAAGAATAATTTCCTCAGAGGTTGATGAGAAGGTTGGTGAATGCATTAGTAAGATGGACTCAAAGTTCATGTTCTGAAAAAACCATTCCCTGAGGAAAACTACTTCTATAAGCTTTTTGTTTTTCAAGTTTTCGGTATTTTTCTGTCAGAGTTGACTTGGAAGGCCAGGCCAGGCCAGGCCGAGTGAAGTGGAAAAACTTGTGGCTTCCAACAGACTTAGCTTATCTCTGGGCTCTAGTACTTTTTTGTTACATGAGCCTATGCAAGCCACCTAGGCTTTCTGAACCTCAGGTTCCCTTGACTCAAAATGGAACTGTGCTTCAAAACCCATTCTGAGAGGGCCAGGGATTTAGCTCAGTGGTTCCAGTGCCTGCCTCGCAAGCACAAGGTCCTGAGTTCAATCCCCAGTACCAAAAAAAAAAAAAAATCATTCTGAGAACTAAATGAGATGGTGTCTAGAAAGCCTCATAATAGTAGCTAGCAGGTGGGAAATGCCCACTATATGGTACAACAACTGCTGCTGTTCAAATTATCATTCTTTGTGCCATGACCCTATTTAAAGGGACAGAGAAATGGCATTAGTGACAATACTTGAAAAATTTTGTTGTTGTTGTTCTTTATGGCAAGCATCACTCTGTTGAAGACATTTAGGAAATATTTGTTATGAAAGGAGGTGATAACATGTCTAAGTAGTCACCCAGGGTAGAAAACCTATCCTATCTCAGAAGCACATTAGCTTCTTTTAAGAACCACTCATGTGAGTCATTGATTAGAAATGAGTATAAAGTTCAGGTTTCTCTTTTAAAATGATACTTGTATTTTTCAAGAGTGTTGGTCCAGCATAACTTCATTGATTTTGCATATGTGATGTTTCTCAGCCTTTTTATTTGCTTTTTTTTTTTTACATTATAAATTCTTGATTCAAGATTTTTGTATTTTACCTTTTGAGCTTTACATAGAATCTAGAATAGTGTTTTCCAATTAGGTACACAGTGATGTGTTGCTACTATAAAAGATTTACGAAAAGTAGTATTGGCTTTTTAAAGGTATCGAGGGGATGGGAACTGGTTATGATGTGGTAAGTTCAGCATGAGCTTAGATTTAACACTTAATGGACATTAGTGTTTGCTAACAATTACAAGCCCCATGAAATTCCAAGTTTGGAGATATTCCTTAGATTTGGTGCCAGTAAAAAAAACCATGTCTGTTTAGCCTTGGCCTACTCTTCTTTAACCTCAGAGAGTATACTAAAACTTTTGTAAGGAAGGCAACACTTTTTCAGTATTTGGCTAAGGAAGGACAGATCTTAGACATTATACAGAATGCACTTCTTTGCTCCTTCCCAAGCCAGTTCACTTAATAAAACAACGGAAAATGTCATGAGTTATTGGTTAAACAGATGACCCCCTCAGATTGATTTTGCACTATGTCATTTCCCTGAAGTTTGCTTATTAAAAATTTTAAAGTTAATACTTTTTTGTTTTTTGGTACTGGGGATCAAACTCAGGACCTTGCTCTTGCCAGGCAGGCACAGTGCCACTGAACTACATCCCAGGCCCTAAAGTTAATGCTTCTGAGACTGTATAGAGCACACAGGTCCCCTGAGGGTCTTGTTTATAATGCAAATTCTGATTCAGTAGGTCTGAGCAGGGCCTAAGGTTCCAAACTTCAGTAAGCTTCCTGCTTTTGCTGCAAGACTTTGGGTTGTAGGTGGAGGACAGATGGCTCCCTTCTTGGTTTCTGTTCCTATCCTCATTAGTTTGAGTTTGAGTGTCTCTCTCTGATCTCTCCAGGTTTGGTCGCTGGCTGCAGTAGCTACAGATCTTTGCCTTGGTCCGAAGTCTGACCCAGATTTGGAAACACCCTGGGCTCGGCATCCATTTGGACGACAGCTTCTGGAGTCCCTGTACGTTTTGAGAACTAAAAGTGAGGAAAATGAGTGATGTCAATTGTAGGTCTGTAAACGCATTAGATGTTATCACCTAAGAGGAAAGTGCAAAAGCCTGAAAATTGAGAGGAAGAAATAGGATCTTTCCTTTTAGCACTGAAATAACCTCTGTGCAGAATGAACTTCTTACAGCAGAAGGAATTATACCGTGTTTGTCACTTATGACATGGATTTGCAACCCCTCAGACTTTCGTGTCTTCAGAGATTCATGCGTTAGTCTGTAGATCACATGAGTCTGAACAAAGGCTTTTGAGTGCTGGAGATGGTAAGTTTCTTCTTGGATGCAGTGGGGTTTGACCCCTGGAACAGATTGGAGAATTGTGTGTTGGTGTTTGTGTTCTCCCAACACAAGGACCCTTTCACCCTCTTAGGCAACTCATGAAAACATTGAATTTGTGTTCAGTGTATTGGACTGAAATAAGGCAAGCTATAATTATATAAAATAATCTACCACCAAGTAAGACACTTGACTGTCTGCAACATAAAGGCTCAGGGCCTGGGCAGGGGACTTCACATCCCTTGGGTTGGGGTTTGCTTTCCTTGCTTGCTGAGGCCAAGCCTGGGACTTCTGCTCCTGTCCCATTGCCTCATCCTTAATGCAGGTGTGACAGTGCATTTTATACACTTCACACGAGGCTCCAGTGTTATGGCACTGAGTGGTAGGAGGGTGCATTATTTCATGACAGAGGTAAAGACCTGATTCCTCATAATTTAACATAGTAGTCCTGAAAGACAAAGGGACAGGAGTGCCTAAAAGATAAAAAATATTCCTTGTCAAAAATTGAAAAAAAATTCCTTATCTATCTTATTTAGTAGTTCATATTTATGCCAAATGTGATGGCACATGCCTGTGATCCCAGCTACTCAAGAGCCTGAGGCAAAGCTGGGCATGGTGGCCATGCTTGTAGTCTCTGCACTTGAGATGGGAGCCTGAGACAGGAGGATCAGTTCAAGCTTAAGGCCACCACCCTGGGCTACAAAATGAATTCAAGGCTAGCCTGAACTCCATAAGTGAAACCCTATCTCAAAAAGACCAAAAAAAAAAAAAAAGAGGCTGAGGCAGAAGGATCTCAAGTTCAAGGTCAGCTTGGGCTATTAAATGATATTCTGTCTCAAAAATTTAAAAAGAAAAACCTAAAAAGGGCTGGGAGTATAGTTCAGCAATAGAGTGCTTACCTAGCATGCATGAGCCCCTGAATCCAATCCTTAGTACTAGAAAAACGAAAACAAAAAACCCTTATTCATAATTCTACCTCCACAGTCAGTGAATGGCCTGCCCACCGCACCGAGGTGGTACTGTGTTCTCTGAGCAAGTTCCCATGGCTTTAGGTTATGTGGATGGTGTACATGGGAGTGGCCTGAAGAACAGTGAGCCTTCCTTGGGGTCAGGCCCCCAAGAGCATGCGGCTGCTCACACAGATGTCAGGTTGGCCTGCGTGGTTCATGGGGAAGCTGCATCCTGTGCATGCCAGACTCACAGTAGTCAGAGCCTGGATCTGTAAAGCCCCAGTTCCTGATGGGGTTGTAGAGGCACACCCTGCCTCATGGCAGTAACCACATAGCCATGACTATTGTCCTTCCTCCGTTCTATCTTTGTTTCCTTCTCACATCTGTTTCTTCAGGTTGGCGCATTATTGCCGGCTTCGGGATGTTCAGACCTTGGCTATGCTCTGCAGTGTGTTTGAAGCCCAGTCTCAGCCTCAGGGGCTGCCAAACCCCTTTGGGTCTTTTCAAAACCGGTCTTCCAATCTCATGGTGTCCCATAGTAGATATGTAAGTATGTGCCTTCCTTTCTGGTTTGCATCTAATTCTTTCCATAATGTAAACTGATGTCCAGCAGCGTTCTGATGCCAATCCTATGTGTCCCCTTCCTTCTAGCCCAGCTTTACCTCCTCGGGTTCCTGCTCCAGCATGTCAGACCCAGGCCTCAGCACCGGTGGCTGGAACATAGGTTGGTTGGGAGTAATGATGCCCTCGCTGGATAGTCAGACCTCTAGAAGCTGTGTGCAAGTTGTCCATATGTAACCTGCCTCAGTCACTGTCCTGTCATTGGGACACAATACCCGACACAACTTAAAAGAGAGGCTTATTTTGGCCTATAGTTACAGTCCATGGTTGGCTGGCTCCATGACAGGAAAGGAATGGTGGAAGGACCTGCCATGGAGGAAAGCTGCTTATGTCATGGCAGCCAGGAAGCAGAGAGGAGAGCAGCTGGGGAGGGAGATAGACCCTTCCAGGCCATGCTCAGGTGACCCACCTCCAACCAGGCCCCCCTTCCTATCAGCAAGTCAGCTATTGCGCCCCCATGGTCCACTCACCTTCCAGAAAGCCCAGCCCCTAAGCATACGAGGCTTTGGGGGTACATTCTAGTTCTAAACCATTCATAATCTTTACCCGGTGCATATTCTCCATGTTTTTCTTTGTTTTCATTTCTTTCTCAATGTAGTGTGATAGGGTTACTGTTGCCAGGAAAGCTTCATCTTTCATATTGAATGGACCAGTTTCTGGAAGGTCTGTACATTACTGGGTTGCTTTGCATCTTATGATGGTGAGAAATTGATGCTAGATCTTGCCACTCTTCATCCCAAAAACCTAACCCTGCTACTTTCTTCTTCACATGCCCTTTTCCATGATCATCTGCTGTTCCCTATCATCCACCTCTTCCCATAACTGTTTTCAGTTTAGAGAAATAAAGCTGGGCCCAACTCCATAAAAGCTGACCATGAGGTCTGTTTCTTGAATAAATGTCTTGATGTTTTCTGGATTTTTGAAATTTCATCTTTAAAAATGATCTTAATTTTCTTGATTATAAAAGTTATATATGGGCCAGACATTGTGTTACATGCCCATATTCCCAGCTACTCAGGAGGCTAGGGAGGAGGATCACTTGAGTTCATGAATTCAAGGCCACCCTGGGCAATATAGCAAGAACTTGTCTCCTAAAAAAATGAATAAATAAAAATAGTACATGCTCAGTGAAGAAAAGCAAACAAAAAGTGTTAGAGAAGAAAATAGTAATTATTGATCTGTCACTAGAAGTAACATCCATTAACATTCCTGTATTTGTTACCTTTCTGTTGCTGTAACAGACACATACAATAAAGGAGGCAAGGTTTATTTAGGCTCATGGTTTTAGAGGTTTCAGTTCATGGTCAGCTGGCTCTATTGGCATTTAGCCCTGTGGCAAAGGCAGAAACAAACCTTTGTGGGGTAAAGCTGCCCGCTTCAGGCATCTAGGAAGCAGAGAGAGTAGGAGAGAGATCCAGAGAGGAGGAGGCCAGGGACCAGATAAGTCCCCAAGGTCACACCCCCATGATCCACTGCCTTCAACTAGGCCTCACCTCTTTCCATCACCTCCCAGTGAAGCCACAAATGATGGCTAACCAGTGGATTAACCCACTGATGAAGTGAGAACCCCTACAGTCCAGTCACTTCCCAAAAGCCCATCAGTAACCAAGCCTTCAACGCAGTGAGCCTTTTTGGGGGACCATGTTGGATCCCAGCCATAACAATTCTAAAACATTTTCTTCCAATCTGTATATGAGCGTGTACACAGAGGTGTATGGGTGTGTATTCTATATATGCTATTTTGTACTCTGCTTTTAATTTTATCAAGGGCATTTTCTCATGTCGTTTAACAAGTCTTTATAAATAATCACTGCATAACATTCTATATCATTGTACCTTAATTTGCTTAATTATTATGTGTACTTAATTAGTACCAACTTCCCTTAGTAGCAAATACCTGGACAAAGAGTTCTGTTTAGTTATATTTCTGAGTCTTCAGCCTGGTCTGTTTATCTTCTAGGGAATCAGTTGCACACACCCTGTAGTATGAGGATTTTCTAATGGTTTTCATGCCTCCTCTGATGCTCATCTTTCTGTCCCCTTTGCTTTCTCCAGCTGGGAGAGAGGCTGAGCACATGTCTTCCCCATGGGGAGAGTCTTCTCCAGAGGAACTCCGATTCGGGAGTCTCACCTACAGTGACCCTCGGGAGAGGGAGCGTGACCAGCATGACAAAAATAAAAGGTAATCATCGCCTTTTCAGGTGACAGCTGCAGTTCTAGAACTCGATTCTCCAAAGGCAGGACTCTTGCTTGAAGAAAGATAATATTAAGTGCCATGTAGTATCAAGCTTTTTCCCCCTCCCTCCTTCCCTCTTTCTTTCTTTTCTCTTTTCTTTTCTTTTCTTTTCTTTTCTTTTCTTTTCTTTTCTTTTCTTTCCTTCCTTCCTTTTTTCTTTCTTTTTCTCTCTCTCTTTCTCTTTCACCTTCCTTTCTTCCCCCCTCTCTTTCTCTCTCTTTTTCTTTCTTTTCCAGGGGATGGAATCCAGTGCCTTTGCACTGAGCTACATCCCTAGCCCTTTTTAAAATTTTTTTATTTTTTTTTATTTATTTTATTTTTTTTATTTTTTTGGTGCCAGGGATCAAACTCAGGTCCTTGTGCTTGCAAGGCAGGCAGCGGAACCACTAAGCTAAATCCCCGGCCCCTAAAATTTTTTATTTTGAGATAGGATCTGAGTTGCCCAGACTGGCTTTGAACTCACAATCTTCCTGCCTCAGTGCACATGCAGGCACACACACATACACACACACCCGAGTGCTGGAATTGCAGGCTTTCACCACCGCACACAGCATCAAGCTTTTTTTTTTTTTTTTTAAGAACTAATAGGAAATCTTTTTAATTTTATTCAGGCTTCTGGACCCTGCCAACACCCAGCAATTTGATGACTTTAAGAAATGCTATGGAGAAATCCTCTACCGTTGGGGTCTGAGAGAGAAGCGAGCAGAAGTGCTGAAGTTTGTGTCCTGTCCTCCTGATCCTCACAAAGGAATAGGTGAATATGAATTTCTTCCTTTTCCTGTCCCTGGCTGAAAGGTCATTTGTCATAGCCTAAGAGTTGGAATGAAGTTTTAGCTTTTTATTATAAGGAGAAATTTCTGGAGCATTTTGAGTCTGTTCCAAGCTTCTGAAAACCCTTGCTTTTCATAACAAGATTAAATCTTGTTGGAACTGAAGTAGTTTGAAACACAGAACTGATTAGAAGTAGAGATGTTTGTTCACTTACTTCGCTAATGCATTTCAAGCCCTGCTTGGTGCTCACGTTTTCCTTCCTCTCGTGGAGCTGACAGCCGGGAGGAGGGGATTAAATAATTAAAAATCGTGACAAATATTAATGAAGAGACAAAACTGATGTTGGTGCAGGGAAAGCAGGTGGAGCATTTTAGGAAATGGGTTGAAGTGTGTTGGGAAGGACATGCTGAGAGGCTGAGGTCCGAAGTTATGAGAAGGAACCACCAGCCAGAGCAGTGAGGAGAGTAGCACTCTGTACAGAGGGAGCAGCCCACAGAGAAAATGACTTGTCACTGTAAACGGGTGACAGAAGGCCAAGGGCTGGAACACAGTAAGCAAGGAGAGCATATAAAATTAGAGTGGGAGGGCCGAGGATTTAGCTCAGTAGTTTTGCCACCTGCTGTGCAAGGGCAAGGACCCAAGTTCGATCCCTGGTACCAAAATAAAATAAAATAAAATTAGAGTGGATAGCTGGCACAGTGGTGCATACCTGTAATCCCAGCACTCAGGAGGCTGAGGCAGGAAGATCATGAGTCTGAGGCCAACCTGGGCTACGTAGCAATTTCAAGGCTGTCCTGTGCTGTGTAGGAAGACTTTATCTCAAAAGAGAGAGAGAGAGAGAATGGGTATAGAAGCATAGGAGGAATAACTTCTAATATTCTTTAGTACAATAGGGTAACTATGGTAGGCAACAATTAACTGAATATTTTTAAATGCCTCAGAGGATTTTGAATATTCTCAACACAAAGAAATGATTCATATCTGAGATGATAGATTTGCCAATTAATCTGATCTGATCATTACACATTGTATTCCCTTATAGTGTGAATGCAACATTGCATCCCATAAACATGTAGCATTACTATGTTGATTAAAAATATATTAGTAAGCCGGGCATTTAGCTCAGTGGTTCCGCCGCCTGCCTCGCAAGCACAAGGACCTGAGTTCAATCCCCGTACCAAAAAATATATATATATTAGTAAAGGGCCAGGGATTTAGCTCAGTGGTTCTGCCACCTGCCTCATAAGCTCAAGGTCCTGAGTTCAATCCCTGGTACCAAAAATAATTTAGTAAAATATATATATATTAGTGAAATATTTTAATAATAACATAAACAAATAAAAAACATAGATTGTAGGATATTAGGGGCATAGCAGGCAAGGACTTGTAGATTGTGGTAAAGAATTGGGGTTGTATCCTTAGTCCACTAGTGAGCTTCAGAGGGTGTTAAGTGACATGCTAAAGAAATAAAATAAAGAAGCAGTATATGCTGATTTACATTTTAGGAGGATCACCTTGGCCGTTAGGAGGGAAAGATTGGAGGAAGGCATAGTAGAAGTAGGAAGACTGGAGACTAGTACAGGGGTCAGAGAGGTCGGCAGCCTGCTCTGAGGGCATTACTGGAGGTGGAGAGAGATGGGTAGATTAAAAATATGTTTGAGCGGTAGACTCAGCTTGACTTGCTAATAAATTAGATATGGGACTGAGGAAGGAAAATGAAGCTTGGCTGATTCCTAGAGGCAGGTGGCAGTGCTGTATTCTAAGATGGAAAAGTCTGCTTAGTTTGGGGTCAGCAGAGATGCAGGAGATAAGGGACTGCAGGAGTCTTATGGGTGGTGGGATGTCCAAGGTGGTCAGGAAAGATTGGAGTGGGAGCTGGGAATCCGGGAATCAGAGCTGTGAGGATGGGTGGATTTACCTGGGAGCCAGAGGTGAGAACACAGCTCACAGTAAGGGTAACAGCCTGCCTGCCTGCCTGGGCCTTGATAGGAATGAGTGCTTGGAGCTGGGTCTGAGGGGAGGAGCCAAAGATAGAGACTCCGGATGAGACGCCAGTGAGTTTGAGGAAAAGCCAGACTGTGATGAATCCACCTTTGCAAAAAGATTTTTTGACAGGAAGAAATGAAAGACTGCCAGAGAGCGTGGGCTGAACACACTGAATTCCTCTCTCCCCAGAACTTAAGTGTCTGTACAGAGCTTTTCTGAAAAGACGTGACTGTGTGAGAAGTAGTGTCGGCAGTGAAATGTGGGCCCTGGGAAGCCGATAGGCAGCTGATTTTACAGGGCCTGATAAGCTGAGCCTGAACTGACAGTCAGAAAACAGAAAGGCCCACTGCAGAACCCCAGGTGGCTCAGGAATCAGTGGTACCTGGTACCTCAGGGAGGGGCTTGAAGGTGAGATTTTGGGTGGGCAGGGCGGGGTACCAGGGATTGAACTCAGGTCCTTCCGCTTACAAGGCAGGCGACGGAATCACTGAGCTAAATCCCCAGCCCTTGAAGGTGAGATTTTTAAAAGCCAGGCTTTTAGGCTTTTTTGATGGCTTTTTAGGATCCCTGGGTTCCTCCTCCTGGTTTGCAGAGTAGGATGTCACCCTCCTGTACCCCAGCAGAAATCCAGAAGTTTATTCTCCAGAGACGGTGAATACATTTCCACATTGAACAGACTACTAAGTACATACCCTGATGATGGGAGAAAGACCAGGGATACAGAGGCAACCTTAGAAGCTTTCAGAGAGACAAAACGGGTCACATGTGAAGGATGAGGACCATGAATGGCATCACACCCCTGAGGAACAGTTCTGGAAACTAGATGAGAGTGCACCACTATCTCCAAAATTATCAAGAAAATGATTCTTGTCAGATTCTGAACCCCGATTATCAATTACAGGTGAAACTGGACCTTTAGCCTAAGTAAGGAGGACTAGATTCAGAACAGGAAGTGAAGGGGTCAGAGCCAAATGAGGGGCTTGCTGTGACAACCCTAGACAGATAGCCCAGTCCCCACTGGGGCCTCAGGAGCCTTGGTTCCAGGGACAGCAGATTGAAAAAATGTACCTAGTTTATTGCAGTGTTCGGTGTATTTATAGAAGAATCAGATATTTGAGGAAGAGCTTGGAGATGAATTATTGATAAGTACATAGCAAACTAAGCACATAAAAATATGAGACAGTTACTAGTTCTGGGAAAAGCAAAATGCACAGGAAAGGAAAAGTGTCTTAGTACATAGATGAATGATGTTTACCTAGGTCAATAATGTACAAGGGGAACATGATCCAGCCAAAGTAGAACTGGGGAAAAAAACAAAACAATAAAAAAAACCAAAATAGAACTGGGGGTAAAGATGAGGGGCAGGTTGTGTGTGTGTGGTTGGGGAGCCTGGGGTCGGGGGGGTGGTGAAGGAGCAGTCACTGGGAAAGTCATAGATAGCCAATAGATAATGCTTAAAAATACTATTTAAGAAATAGCTTCATAAAAACACCGGCTCAAGATATGAAGGTAAAAATGAAAGAAACATTTGAATCAACTAAAAAGATTTCTTCTAGGGAGTGATGAGGTGTGGGAAGTCAGGGAATCCTGGGTTTTGTAAGATGCATAGAATTATTTGACTCTTTTTAAGGGAGTGAAGTTTGAGATAGGGTCTTGCCATATATATAGTTCAGGCTGGTGTTAAACTCACTGAGGCTGGCCTCCAGCTTGAGGTGATCCTCCTGCCTCAGCCTCTCAAGTGCTGGGATTACATGTGTGCACCATCATGCTTGGCTCTTGACTCAAGTTGTGTATGTACATGGTTCACTTTGAGAAACTAAATGGAGTAATACTTATATTTAGACAGTGAATAACAAGATTATTTTCTTTTTATTTTTCTTAACAGGGATTATTTTAATATGGCTTATTTTTGTATATATACTTGAAGAAATGCAAAGACACAAAGTGGCTTTTAGGCAACATGTTTTCAGAGCATCTCAATGCAGGGAAGTATACCAGGAAGAGATTAATGATACACTGGAGCAATTTGTCTTTTAAAATTTGTTTTTAGGAAAACATAAATCACAGAGATATAATCAGTCCCTCAGTTAGATTAACCTTTACTGATACCTAATGTTTATTTCTGTGGGATGTACAAAGAAACAGGTATGGTTTGGAGTGGGGGCAGGAAGTCCATAATCCAGAGTTTGAAGCTAAACTCATGAACACCTAAATGATAGTCAGGAATTAATAACACAAAGCTGGGTTTGCCTGCAGGAGGATCACAAGTTCAAGGCCAACCTGTGCTGCATGTCAAGTTCAAGGACAGCCTGGACTGCATTAAAGAACAAGAATTAATAGTATGTCCTATAACAATAAAAACACAAGGTTTCAAAAAAAAGGCAAGATTGTAAGAGATTTTCAAACAAAATCATTGAGAGCAACTTTTTTTGGGGGGGTGGTACCAAGGATCGAACTCAGGACCTTGCACTTGCAAGGCAGGCGCCGGAACCACTGAGCTAAATCCCCGGCCCGAGAGCTACTTTCTTTATGCAAAGCTTTCCAAGGTAGCCTGTCCAGACTTTGGAGGAATTGGCTACCCAGATACAGGACACAGCAGGGTCTTTTGTTTTTTAATTTGTCTTTTTTACAGTGTTAGAAATCAAAGCCAGAGCCTCCCACATGCAAGTCAAAGCTCACTACCACTTAGCTACATCCCCACCCCTTTTGAAAAATTTTGAGACAGGGTCTTGCTAAGTTGCCTAAGCTGGACTAAAATTGTCCTGAGTTACAGGCATGTACCACCACCAGGCTGGCTATCAGGTTTGGAAAAAAAACCTACCCCCGGGCTCCCAGGACATAGGTGGTCCTTTTAAGGATGAATAGTAGCGGTTTCCTCTCCTCCTTATCTTACCTGCAAAGCTTATCTTAGTATCTGCAGGCTTCACCATAGCAAATTTGAAGGATAAAGTTGTTCTCATATGTAGGAGGTTAGATCCTTATAGGAAGGGCTCAAAGCTTCATTTATTTGGAGAGAATAATGCTGGACACACTATTCCCTTCAATATAAAATCTGAGTTGATTTTTGTTTTCTTGGTTTCCCCTCATGTGGTATGTTACGTGCTTGGTTATAATTGTGGCAAAGGGAGGGGAGTGCTTTCCCTTTTCTGCCTCCTTATGGGGATAATTCCCTCCTTACAGATGCAGATCTGCCCACTCAAGTTTTGTTCAGCAGTTTTCTGGTTCAGTTTATTAATTTAATACCGTTTTTATTTACATTTGTGCCCTTTTTGTTGCACGGTTAACAAACTAGCATTGTCTGCCTTTGGAGTTAGCTTCCATCTGGAGGCTTTGTAAAACCTCAGAATCATAATTTGATTGTTCTATGTGTTTCAAGTTCTTCCTTTCCCCTCCCCAACCTTCCCTTCACTCTCCTAGGGATTTAACCCAGGGCCTTCACACTGAGCTACATCCCTAGCCCATTTTTTATTTTGAGACAGGGTCTTGCTAAGTCACTAATTCACTGGGCTCAAATTTATGATCTTCCTACCTCAGCCTCCCGGAGTGCTGGATTATAGGCATGCACCACCACATCCAGCTCTGAAGTATTTTATCACCCTTCATAGTTTGTCTGGTAGGAACCAAGAATGATCCACTTCTCCTCTACCAGGTTTCAGCTGCAAAACCAATACTGTGCCTTTTACCTGTGATCCCCAAGTTTACCACTTTTCCTGGCCTGTCAGGACATGACAGCTCTGCTGTGTGTAAAGCCAGGTTTCCCTAAGCCAAAGAATAGTTTTCTGGGAGGATCTGCAGACTTTATGTCTGTGCATAAAGCCTTCTCCTCTTCTTAATAATGGTTTGTCAAAACCAATTAAATGAGACTTGAATTTAAATTCTGGGTATGACCTTGGCCATAAACTTGATTTATCCATTTATATCCTGGTAAGGAGGGCAGACTCTTATTGAACCTCTGTAAATACTTTTTCATGAGCAGGCAGTTTGATGCTTAACCATTGTTTTGAGCAGTTTTGTAGATAAGGTCAATCAGTATATACAGTGGACCCTTGACTTATGAACCTGATCGGTTCCCAAGGGCTGGCTGTAACTAGGTCAGTACAGCTGAGATCTGGATGTTTACCTGGGTACACGCTAAAGATAACAAGAGGCAGATGAATCTTCCATTAACCTAACTAACCTAAGTTGTTCATATGTCAAGCTAGTCATAACTTGAGGGCCCACTGTAATTGTTTCCTATGGAATTGCTGTTCCTAAGTCTTCCTGATGATTTAATGTTGTAATCTACATTAAGATCTTCTTTGGATTTTTTTTTCCTTATGAATTCTGGAAGACTAATTGGAACAAGATATGTTAAAGAGTGTTCAATTTATGTAAGTAGAGTCTGTCAATAAAAAGGATCAAAATGCAGTAGCTATATGTACCAATACCCCACAATGAATATGTTTACTATGTATCACAAGTATATACTAATACATTTTTTTTAAATGTATACCCTGTTGAAATGAGGGTTAACCTGGGCAAGGTGGCATATGCCTGTAATCCCAGTACTCAGAAGGCTGAGGCAGGAGGATTGCTGTGAGTTCGAGGCCACCTTGAGCTACATAGTGAGTTCAAGGCCAGCCAGAACTACATAACAAGACCCTGTTTCAAAAAAACTCAAAAAAAAGATGAGAGAGCAAGGAAGTTTTCTCTCAGTTACCTATTAGAAAATAGTCCATTGGCCATAATTCAGTATATTTTCATCAGTTTTATTCAGTCCTTAGTTGTTAGTTGTATCATAAAAACTGACCCTATTGTCAGAAGGACAGAGAGGAGGAACCAAGCTTGGGCAATTTGCAGAGGTGGCAGCGTGAAGAGGGAGGGGTCCCCGCCCCCATTCAGGGACTTCTATTTCCTCCGGGAAGTGAGAGACAGCTGGGAGAGGAGCGCAGAGGCGTGTGGAGAAGCTTGCAGGTGTGGCAGAGCTGTGGGACAGCCCTGTGGGAATGGGAGAGAGACAGTGATGCTGAGTGTTGCTGGTCGTGTGAGGCGCGACTCACTTCTTGATGGCGGGCTGTCCTCGAGGGCCACTTAGCTCCCTGGAACAGATGTGGAGGGGGCAAGAGCGAGCTTGCACTTCTGCCAGGTGGTGCAGGGCAGGAGGAGGAGCAAGGAGTTGAGGATTTCTGCAGAGAAGTGATTATAAAGTTGGTCCTGTAGCGCTTGCCTGTCATCACAGCACCCCAGAAAGCTGAGGCAGGAGGATCACCAAGCCCAGCTGAGAAAACTAAGCAGGACCATACCTCAAAATAAAAAACTTAGAAAGGGGGCCAGGGATTTAGCTCAGTGGTTCCGCCACCTGCCTCGCAAGCGCAAGGTCCCAAAAAAACAACTTTGAAAGGGCTGAGATGTAGCTCAGTGGGAAGGCCCTGGGTTCAATCACCAGTACTACAGAATAAATAAACAAATAAAGTTGGCCGTGTAATTTCAGGTTGGCCACAGGGCAAAGTGCAGTCAGGAAGGGGCAGGTGGGCTGAAGGGGTAGAGTACAAGGGCCCAGTGGGGTGCATTTTGGAGACACCAAGGATCATGCTGAGGACTGAAGCAGATCAGATTGTGCAGGTGGGGGCTGAGCCTCATGGTCTCTTCCAAGAGGCAGGACCCATGCCTGGCAGAGAGGTGGAGGAGCGCTGATATGGCCACCTTACCCCCACCAGTGGGGAGCAGTCTGTAAGCTGGACTGGCTGAAGCCAGGCGCAGTGGCTCATGCCTGTCATCTCTTCACTCAGGAGGCCGAGGCAGGAGGATCATAGTAAGTTCGAGGCCAACAACATGGTGAGTTGAACAACATAGTGAGATTCTGTCACAACAAAAGGAGATCAGGCTATCAAGTTGGTAAAACCAGTGAGCTTTCACCTAAAATGTTTCCAAGCCATTCCATTCTTTCAGCACATCACATGACAGCCCCTGCCAGCTGTTGGGCCAGAGGAAGCAGTGGGTTTCCCACAGGCTGCTGAGAGCCACTGGCCGGCCATCCTCTGCTCTCACCCTGCCACTGCAGTGACAGTGGCTCCGCTTTAGGAGACTTACCTACATTGCAGAAGAAGAAGTTCTGCTGATTAAAAAAAAAAAAAGGCACTGGGCATGGTTGTATACACGTGTAATCCCAGCACTCTGGAGACTAAGGCAGGAGTTCAAGGCCAGCCTGAACTACATAGCAAGACCCTGTCTCAAAAAACAAACAAAAGGAAAACCACTGGTCTGACAGAATCCTGAGGGCAGTTGCCTTTCCTCCTGCAAGTACCCAGTTTCCTTTGTCAGAGCCAAACTCACGGTGCCTCTCATTTTGCCCGTCTCCACCCATCTGCAGAGTTTGGTGTGTACTGCAGCCACTGCCGGAGCGAGGTCCGCGGCACGCAGTGTGCCATCTGCAAAGGCTTCACGTTCCAGTGTGCCATCTGCCACGTGGCCGTGCGTGGGTCATCCAACTTCTGCCTAACCTGTGGGCATGGCGGCCACACCAGCCATATGATGGAGTGGTTTCGGACCCAGGAGGTGTGTCCCACTGGGTGTGGGTGCCACTGCCTGCTGGAAAGCACTTTCTGAGCTCACAGTGAGCCTGGTGGAAATCCCAGAGGACCCTGCGGACCAGTGAAAACTTTGTGCTGAGGGAAACTCCAGATGTGGGTCATCCCTAGCAACGTGGGAGTGGGTTCCCTTTGCAGACTCCCACAGCAGCTGCTCCCTAGGAGCCCTTGTGGTCTCTTTTCTTTGGCTGCCCTGGCATGGGCATCATCAGCGGAAGGGGAGGCCAGGATCACAGAGCTGGACTCTGTCTGCACCCGCTGAGCTACCACAGTGGAAGTTTTCATGGGGGGAAGCACCTGCCTGCAGAGCCAGTGCCAACCTCCAAGGCATAAGCCCTGTGCCACCAGTGGGCTCTGCTGATGCCAATGTAGAGACCAGGGTAGCTACAGAAGAGTCTCTTGAGCCACAGGGCAGTGGACATAATTTAATTGACAAGTGAGCCCATGATGCCTGGGACTTTAGCAGTTACTGCCTTTAAAGAGCTGATGAGGGCTGGGGATTTAGCCCAGTGGTTCCGCTGCCTGCCTCGCAAGCACAAGGTCCCAATTTTGATCCCGGGTACCAAAAAAAGAGCTGATGGACAGCAGCCATCTGAAATATGATCCTGGAAATATAACTATGTGACGTACTTAAAGATTCTTAAAATGTATTTTTTTATCTCACCTCCAGCTTTCCCTCAACTAATAAAATTCTAGTAATTCTTTTTTTTAAAAAAAGTTGTACATCTCAGTGAATCATTTTTTCCCCTACTTCTGATTGAAGTTAGCTATTTTGGATAGGACCAAAATCAGTGCTCTGCTTTTTAAAGGAAATGCTGATTGACTTTGGTCATCTGACAGGAAAAAATAGAATTGGACATTTAAGGTTCTTCCCAGTCCCAAGTCTTATAATTATTTCTTACACCAAAAGGTAGGTAAGATTACATTGCAGCATTGGCACACAAGTCCTTTCTGCCTCTGAACAGGCTGACGAAAGTCTGGGAGCGCCTCGTTGGTAATTGGGCTCTTTTGCAAATGTTGCCCAGGTTTATCCATGGTCCAAGGTCTCATGTATGCCTCATTTTAAAAAATTTTTTTTTGGTACTGTTGCAGAAATCTTGGAAAGAAATACACAGAGACACAGAATTCGGATAAAACAATAAAATTTCTTCTGGCGGCAGGCAGAACGCCAGAAACCAGTCTGGTCAGTATCCCACCCCCTTTGTTCAGCATTTCCCTTTTTATACCCTTTTTAGCCATTATCTCATCCCTAGTGGTCTTTGATACGTAAATACAGTTCCAGTTCCTATTTACAAGTCACAGACACAAGATAGGCCATATACATTGTAAATTCACCCTGGCATGGTAACTTTGTTAGGTTAATGAAGTTACTGGTTAGAGTTAGATAATCCTCACCTTAAGGAGTTACGGGAAAAGCAAATCTTAAAAGAACACATTACTTATTTTGCTTCTACAACTACCTTAATGTTCAGTCTATTAAGTTATCTAAAACTTTTCCGTATCAGTATGAGAAATCGAGAAACTAAGGGCCTTGTGCTTGCCAGGCAGGCATTGCGCTGCTGAGCTCTATCCCTAGCCCCATGTGACCCATTTTTAAAGAAAAATTTTCAACTCTATCTTTTTATGTTATGAAAAAAAGAGAAATCCTCTTTATTTCTTTTGAATTCTCTATTATTAGAATTTTACCGTTCCAAATTGGCTAACAAGGTATATAAATAACTACATGTCCCATAATAGCATGGTATGTCACTGTGTTTCAAACTCCAGGTCAGGACTCATGAATGGATTGTGGAATCCAGTGGATAAAAACTAGCATTTAAAGACAGTGAGATAAGGTAGAAGAGAAATGGTCATGATGTGTTAGCATAGTTAAGGTAAATAATGTTTTGTGTAACTTGATTACAAGTGTGTGTATACATTTGCACTGTGTCCTAGACCATTATGTGAACATCTCTTACTGAAGGTTGGAGTCAAAAACATTATCAAACCACCGGTTTGGATGATGCTTATACTTTGTCCCCTGTGTAGGTTCTGCACTGGGACCACAGGCTTAACACTGGGCTCTGACGTGAGTGTAGGTGCCACAGTAAGCAGCCAGTGCACTGGAGTGATGGAGAGAGGCCCAGGACATCCCAGTTTGTTTGCACCCTTCTCTTCCCTTGTTTGGGTTGTGGCTGCAGTAACAGTGACCCCAGAATAGGTTGACTGATTGACACAGAGATCAAGGATCTGTTGTGTTCCTCAGTGAATTCACATTGCAGAAAACAATCTTTTCCTGTTCCCCGCTGCTCAAGCTAATGTAGAAATCTGTCCCTGTCTGTCCGCATCAAAAATGAGATGTTTGGGCCGGGGATTTAGCTCAGTGGTTTCGCCGCCTGCTGCGCAAGCGCAGGGACTAGAACTCGATCCCTGGTACCAAAAAAAGAAAAAAAAAAAAAGAGATGTTTTTCTTGTCTTAGTTTATCATTGTCTTTCAAAACAGAAAAAGCTTCCTAGTAGGTATGAAACATTTTTAAGTTTAAAACATCACATAATGTCTCTTTCAATATGTGAATTTCTTTTGAATTTTTAAGTTAAAAGAACAAAAGTCTTTTTTTTTTTAATTCGCTTTTGGAAGCGTAGTCTGGATGCTAGCCATGATCTATATGCTCTCAGCCTCAGAGTGGATTATTACAAGCATCTAAGTCCTTTTTGTTTGTTTGTAAAAACATTATAAGCTATGTTTCAAAGTATCTTTGAACTTGGCAAGGAAAACTGGGCTAGCAGTCTTATCTGTTCAACAGAAAACAATAGGTTGCTCAGCCTTGTGGAAAGGATGGGCTGAGCCTTCTAGGTGACCACCAGGTTGATTTTGTGTTCATGTCCCTAGACTGTCCAAAACCCAAATGGTATGATGCTTTCCTCATTGATGCCATATAGAATCAGTGATGTTTAAAAATTTTTTTTTAATTTCATTTAATATAAAAATGCATGGCGAATTGCCTTACTGAGAACTCCTCCTCTTACTCTGTGGTTCCCTGAGTGGCTGGCAGCATTGAGGAGCAAACGAGTGTCTTTCAGTAGCTTAAGGCAGCAGGAGCTAAGGAAAGGACAGGAGTCAGTCATTGTGTCCAAAGATGAGGCAGTAGACACCCTTGGGCAGAAGGGTAGGGAGAGCCATCTGTAGTTTCTATACAAGACAACTTCCTAGAAGGTTGATTTTGTTAGCTATAGAAAAATAGTTTAGAATGCAGGGTTATACATTGTACTGCTACTCTATAGCTTCCTTTTTCACACCATCCTCAGGCAGGAGGCAGCAATCGGATATTATACACACACCCAAGAAACAGATGCCACGTGACAAAACACACCTTGGTTTTCTCATTCTTCTTAGAAGCTAACGTTACCAGAGTCAGAAATAAATTTACCATATTGGTATTCTATCATATTGGCAGATTTGGGGCACTGCAGTATCAACAATCTGGTATTCTTTCCTTCAACCTCAGAAGACCGGGTTTTATTCATCAGGTTATTTATCAACAAATGAGCAATGGACAAAGGTGAGCTGTAAGTGTGAGCTCTGCTCTGCTAGAGGTGGAGTCCTGTAGGAAGGTTATGTAAGTGGCATTATGTTACAATATATTAACTACATGTTAAATTTATGTTAAGTATTTATGTAAATGCTTTCACCGCCATGTGTTGCTGGCTTCCTGGAAAGGAAAGAGTAACTTTGGTGAGGACCAAGATCATCCAGGGGAAGAGAGCTTGGCTGAGCAACTTTGAAATGTGTTACTGTTTTTTAATTTTTATTTTTATTAGCATATGTTTGCAATACATAATGATTACATTCATCATGAGGAATTAGTACATACACACAACATGTTGAAAAATAAGTATTTTCAGCCAGGTGTAGTGGTGCACGCCTATAATCCCAGCACTTGGAAGAAGGTTCTCTTTGAGTTTGGGGCCAGCCTAGCTACCTAGTTCAAGGCCAGCCTGAACTACAAAGTGAGATCCTGCCCTCCCCCCAAAGCTTTTTTAATATGAAAGGTGTTTTCTGATTGGGAAGAGTGGGAAGGCACAGGAAGGGCTGTGCTGAGGTAGACAGGAAGACATGCCACTGATGTGGGTGGGGTGAGCATGAATAGTTTCCTGATGGTGGTGCAGAGCTAGACCTGATAAGTGAGGCTGGAGAGGAAGCAGGAGCCAGAGTCTGGTGAACCTGGGCACTGCCCTAAGGAGCCTATGTTTTATCTGTAATCCTGGAGTCTCAGTCTTTCCTGATCTAAAGCCATACAGAGTTTCCCCAGTGTTATGGTTTATATCTGGATGTCTCCCAAAGTTTCATATGCTCATAGGTGGGGCTTTGGGGAGGTGACTGGATCATGGATGTGTGATACTGGTGGATTAGTCTGCTGATGAGTTTATAGCTGAATGTGATTTGGAAAGTGAAGCCTGCTCCGAGGAGGTGGGTCACTGGGGGGTGTGGCCCTCCAGCTTTGATCTCTCTGCTCCCCGATGCCATGCCACAAGGTACTTCTTTGCCATGCCGACCTGTCTTGAGCCAGCCGACAATGGACTGAAACCTTTACCAACTGTGAGCTAAAATAAATCTCTCCTTTAAGTTTTGGGTGTTGAGTATTTTGCCCCAGCAATGAGAATATTAACTAAGGCACCCTCCTTCATGTCCAGTCATCCTCAAGGCCCCTGCAGGCCCACCCGCGTCCCTGGGCTGGTGTTAGGATTCAGAACTCATCATGGCTTCAGCCCTTCATTGCACAGGACAAGCAGCTAAAGC